ATCTCTCAGAGGCTGGCATCACCCCCAGTTTTACAACCACAGAAGGGTAGTGGTGAATAAGACCAGCAGCAGATGAAGACTTCAGCTCCCACAATATTTAAGACATAAAAATGAACATTTGTTTGAAGAGCAGCTCCTCTGGACTTCAGGCTGCTCCTCATCCCTCACATCCATCCCCAGGGTCTCAGATCAGCTTTCCAGAGATGCAATGAGCATTTGCAGGGCTGCAATGAGCTGCCCCAGCCATGGCAGGTGCCCAGCTCAGACCCCCAGAGCAGCCCTGTAAAAAACCCCTCCTCTAAAATGACTTTTTCCCCCTCTTCCCACGCTCACTGGCAACACAGCCTAATGATCTTCCCATCAGAAGGGCTGGGCAGGCCACAAAAATCACCTCCCACCCTAGCACACTTTCTGCACCACAATGGGAAGCTAAAATACAGTTTGATATCAAAGAAAACATTTTGTTCTGCCAGAGAGGCCACGAAGACCTTCAGGTCAGAAAGTCTTGGAAATGTAGGTGCAGACAGTTGCTTTCCAGCAATGCACAGAAAAAGCTCATCTCAACAAGCCACAAAGTGCTGCAGCTAACAGAAAATCAAATCAAATCTGTGTAAAACAACTCCTTCCTCAAGCTCTGCTCTCCAAACACATTCTGGCACCCGCTCAGCAGACAAAGCTTTTGACACATGGAGCTGTAACCGAGCCAAGCTGTGAGCAAAGGAGCAAAGACCACTCTGGGAGGGACAGGAGGCAGTGCTAGCAAGGAACTGCCAGCCCCACAGGCAAATCCCAACCTCCCAGCATCCCGTGGCATGACGCACAGGCAGGGCTTTTTTGCATCCCTCCTTTTGTTAATGATACACTCTGTGTAAATTTTCACTTGGAAATGATTAAGCTGTGAACCCATTAAGGAGCTATTTCTCACTCCCTTCAGCTGTGACACCCCGCTCACGATAACAGCAAATTCAGAAATGGCAACCTGAATTACACAGCCTTTTTCTTAATGGATTTTTGAGAAGCAAAGTGTGACCAAAGTACAAGTTCAAGCATTCACACAGGCCCTGCATGCCCCTTATCTTTTGGGGGCACATACAGCTGTGAGTTTATCTAAAACACCTGGTTTCAGATAGGCAAGGGCTTTTCATTTCTAAAGGCACCCTCCAGGATCAACATCAGCCCAGTTAAATTAATAATGATAATTTTTTTAAAAAGCAAATATGCCAGCGTTTGTCTTGAAAACCTTCCAGAAAAACCAAATCTCCCTGGCATAAATCTAAGCTGCAGCTGCAGTGCTCATGTCTGGGTAGAGTGGGGTGGCAGCACTGCTCCAACCACCACCAGTGGAGGTGCTCAGACCACACCAAGATGGTTATTTAATTCCCCACACCCTGGAGGGATCAAGCATGGAAAGGAGAAGGCATTCATATTTAAGAACCTGCAACTTTTCCTGGCTTTTCTTCCCTGAAATCCCCCCAGTGGAATCCCCCTGAAATTCCCCCTGTCTGCTCTAACAGAGCAGAGTGTGGTTATTAACCACTGGTCTGGCACACTGGCAGCCCAAGTGAATGAAAGAGCAAGAGACTGGGAAGGGAATTTTCTAATAGTGCAGAAATTGAAGAAAAGGGGAGAAAGTTATAATTAACAAAATAACAGAAGTTAATCACCTCACCTTTCCATGGTCTTTGAAGAAAAGAGATATAAAGCAAACAAAGTAATAGAAAATCAAGCAAGAAATCCCAAGCATGCAATGAGCAGCAGGGAAACAATCACCTTAGGATGTCACGGTGCAGTGAGCTGGGCACTGTGTTCCACAGGATAAATCATGCTGTAAGAACAAGCAGCCTGGGACTCGCTGGATAAAACATGAGTTTGAGAAAACTGACTTTATGGAGTGACTCAGTGCAGAGCAAGCCAGGCTAATTCCCTGAAATCGTGGCTTTGCTGCCCTGTCCCCCAGGCAGTGTCACTGCAATGAGCTACAGGGAACTGCTTTGAAAACAAACATGGTTCAAGTTGTTTTGCTCTTTACTTTCAAGGCAACAGTTAAGAGTAAGTGTGAGAGTGAGGAATGCACGCTTTGGGTGTTTTATTAAGCTTTTTCTTTCATGTTGCTTGGCAATTAAATCGATGGAGATGTACATATGTTCCTGCTCTGCCTGGGGTATCACTCTGTCCATCTGAACTCTGCCCTGCAGCTCTGGTTTTTTTAACACGAGAGCAGTTTTTAGGCACGGAAACGAAACCTCTTTCCTCAGGGTTGATTTGATCTTGTGGGTTTGTTGCTGGTCTTTAAATAAATTTAAATAAGCCCACATCATTTGCACATAAGCCCAACACAAACACAAGAGAGCTAGCAGAAGTTCCAGCTCTGTCACCTGTGGGGCTGCAGAAACACATCCCACTGCCAGCCAGGGATGCCACACCAGCCACATTCCTGGAGATGCTGCTGCCAGACCAGGCAGGTGACAAAGCTGAAACACTTCTGAAAAAGGCACTTTCAGTACGGGCTCTCATTCTCCTCAAGCACCTGCAAAGAGAAACTTCACTGGCCGGGGGCAGGACTCGCAACGCCTCCATCCCGTGAGATGCGCTGAGCTGCACTTCCCACACAGCCCTGGGGACACGAAGCCACGCAGGCAGTGACCCTGCCAGGGCAGGGCTGTGGCTCTGGGCTCTGTGGCAAGCTGCCCTGGAGCACAGTGCTCCATCTGTGTCCTCCCGGCCGTCAGGAAAACGCCGCTGGCTCGGCGGGCACGGGGAGCGAGCTGCGGAAATACCGGCGGCACCGCAGGTGTGGGGGAGAAGGAGCTGCTCTTTGCACAGAGCTCAAAGAAGCCCTCAGCCCTGAAAGCCACGCTGTGCAAGGGCCCACACAATGAACAAGGGCAGGCCCACAGCTGCACCTCCCTCTCTGCACTCCTTCTCCGTGTGCTTGCTCCTGAGAGACAGCAGGGTTTGCCACTGAGGCACACAGGAGGGACATTGAGCCTCTAAGGACATCATTAAGGAACTGCCCAAAAAGTCAGCCCTGAAACTGGCCAGGAATAAATGCTTTCTGTCAGTGAGGGCTGGGAACAGGAGGGCACTGCCTGGCACGTAGAGGACTTCATGCCTCTTGCAGTGTCCTGAGCAGAAAGGAAGAGAGCACAAAGCGTTTCCATATTAACCAGCCAAAGAGAGATTCCTGCACATCAAGACTCTGGTCCTCACACAAGGCAGAATTAAAGTGCCATGCTCATTTTTAAGGACAACACATGCAGAAGCAAAAAAAAAAAAAAAAAGTTTTCTTCTTTATACCTTACTATATTAACAATTAATAAATAGGTGTGCAATTAAAGCATCCTCAATCCAGATTCAAACTCTAGAGAGCATTATTCAGGCTGAATTTAGGATTTAAGACCTGGGCTTCTAGTTATTCAATTTGTCAAATAACACAGTGGTCCAGCTCACAACAGCTGGCACTGCTGTGCCTTCCAAAACTGACAGCTGACACTATCACCTGCAAAACCCAGCTCTGACATCCCCTCAGCTGGTGAACAAAGCTGGTAACATGCAGCCTCACCAAACCTGGTCTGTGGGACAAAGAAACTGTGAGAAAACTGAGGTTTTAGTAGCAACAAGGATTTTTAGGAGTAATAAGGATTGGTGTTACTGGGAGAACAAAGAATGGGGAATAAGAAGGGGCAATAGAAGGATGATCCTACTGCTGTATCAATAGGGATCTCAACAGGATAAATTATTGTGTCTTCATTTTAAAGTGGAACACCCCTGGCTGTTGCGGCTACAAAAAGTGTCTGTGGGCACAAAAAAAGGTCAAAGCACCCTGAACAAAGTGAAATTCCTTATCCAGGCCTTTGATATAAACTAGAGATGGCTGAAACCAAGAAGCTGCTGAGGTTGCAGTTCGGAGAGAGAACTTCCTTTACACTCTGTGCAATACATCTTCCTGGCAAGGGACAGGAAGATCACTAATGGGACATCACCGTTTCACCATCGCTCCCCAAAGCTCTTGTAATTAGCGAAATCACGCCTTTTCTCACTCCATCGGATACCTGGCAGATAAGCACTCAAAAATCCACCTACAGCTGTCAAGCTGATAGCATCTGTTTTGACAGCCACGGCACAAAGGTCAGCCACAAACTCGCTTATAAAGGTCATTTTTCCAGCCCAGGGTGGAGGCAAAGGAGAGGGATTATTCTGGAAGTTCAGCAATACCTCTCTCCTGTCACAGCAATGAACAGAACTCCCATACACAGCTCACGGCTCGCACCTCCCCTGCCTGAAATAATCCCTAAACCACAGGTTTTTGCGTTTCCAAGAACACCCTGCTGCACAGGCTCGCTTTGTTCCGTGTGGCTTTGGGTGCATTCCTCCCCGGACAGATTACCACTGTGTCCAAAATGCATCAAATCCATCGGAAAAGTTTGCCATAAACTTTAAAAAAAAAAAAAAAAAAGGCAAATCAACCAGCAGAAAGCAGCCCTAAAGACTTACGTCAAGATTTCTTCTGGTTCTGATTTAAAACCTGGAAAACGCACACACAGCCAGAGGGACCCAGAGCTCCCATCCCAGCCCCAAGGAGTAGGGGAGGGCAGCTGGCAAGCGGAACGCGATGTCCGCCTGCAGTGGCTGCGATTTGCAATTCGAATTTCTCACTGAGCTGCGATTCCTTCGCTTTGCCGCGCGTGTTCTGAAGCGATGCTGAGAGCCTGACGGCGGCGGTGGGGCTCCTTCCCCCGCCTGGCACCGGGACAGGGGACACCCACAAAGGCACGAGCGAGGCAGGACCTCCGGCCGTGCCTGCAGGGGACCCGCGGGGCACAGCGGGACAGGTGCGGGATGCGGAGGATGCTCAGCCAGCTCAACCATCCATGCCGAGTGATGGATGGGCTGGAGAACTCCCGAGCAGTGCCGGAACTGCGGCTGCCCGTGGATCCCAGCGCAGGACAGGGAGAGGGATCAGCGGGGACAGCCCAGCCCCGCTCCCGGCGCGTCCCTACCGTGTGCTCGCGGCTCGCCATGGTGCTGCTGCTGCGGCTGCTGGTGCGGTGGGCCCGGCGGGGGAAGCCCTATAAGGGCTGCGGGACACGTAGCGCGGCCCTGGGCCGGCCCCTCTCGCCCTGCGCCCGCCCCCGCCACCGCCTCCTCTGGCCCGGCCCCCGCGGGAACCGGGCAGGGCGCTCCAGCCCTCATCCCCCGTGAGGAGCGGGCGGGGAGCTCTGGCCCTCACCCCCCGTGAGGAGCGGGCAGGGCGCTCCAGCCCTCACCCCCCGTGAGGAGCGGGCAGGGCGCTCCAGCCCTCATCCTCTGCGGGAACCGGGCAGGGCGCTCCAGCCCTCATCCCCCGTGAGGAGCGGGCGGGGAGCTCTGGCCCTCACCCCCCGTGAGGAGCGGGCAGGGCGCTCCAGCCCTCATCCCACGTGAGGAGCGGGCAGGGAGCTCCGGCCCTCATCCTCTGCGGGAACCGGGCAGGGCGCTCCAGCCCTCATCCCCCGTGAGGGGCGGGCGGGGAGCTCCGGCCCTCATCCCCCGTGAGGAGCGGGCAGGGAGCGCACGACACCGTGCCTGGGAAAAGGAACCTGAAATGAGGAGCTTGGGGCTCTGCTGCCACGGCCGGGGAGGGGACAGGGAGTGTCAGAACTCAGCACATCCCTCTGGGTATCCAGAGTTGCCGGGGCCCCTGTCGAGGGGCTCGGAGACCTGGGCATGCAGCCCAGAACACCTGGGGATTTGATTATGCCCCGTGGAGCAAGTTACCAGCTTTGTATGAGGACCTAAAAGTCACAGAAGTTTAAATAATGTAATAATAAAATTATCACCGGGTGAAAAGGTAGATTTTGGGGTTTTTAGAATGGAGGTTTTAGGGACAAGATAGAGGGATTTGGGCATGTCCAGTCCTCCTTCTTCTTCTTCTCTACCTCCATCCTCTGCTGTGATGCTGGCACTTTGGGATTGGTTTAGAATAGAAGTTCACTGTCTAACATAGGTGATAGGTATTGGAAAGAAATATAAATTGTTGTAAATTGTAAATATGTTGTATGTAGTTTGTAGTATAAAAAGACAACACCACCCCGAGGGTGGTCAGAGTGCTGCTAGCTGCCTTGCTGAGTAGACCTGGGCTGGGCAGGAAGAAAATGTTATAGATAAGATATAATAAACAACTTCAAGAATAAAAACTGAAGAACTCCAGCTCCTTCTAAAACAGAGACTTTTCACATATCTCAGGGCCGCAATTAACAGCACAACTCCCGAGAAGGGAGGAGGAACGCCAGCCCACACAACGCGACTGAGGGAAAAGCAGCTCCCGAGGAGGATGATGATGGTAAAAGTGATATTTAAAATAAGCAGTGCTGGAGGGTGGTCACTGAGGGTTTGGCAAAAATACGAAAAAAGTTGAAAGGAAACACAGAGGAGCCTCCTGGCAAAAACGGTGCAGAGGGTGAGGGGAAAAGAAATGCCGTGACTGACAGCTCTGCCCCAAATCCTCCGTTTCCCACTGCTGGAAAAGTTCAGGTCCTTGAACTCTGGTGAAACAGAGCAAAAGGCAGGGAATGCCCTGGTGGAGAGAAACCACAGTACACCCTGGGATGGCCCAGGGACAGAGAAAGGAACATCCTGGTGGGTAATTCTACACCTGAGGGTGAACGGTGCCAGCAGGGCACTTGTGGTCCTGGACCACTGCCTCCTGCTCCATAGCCATCCACAGATCCATCCCAGGGCCACAAGGATGGCTGTGCCAACTGTGCTGCCTCTCCTCTAGGAGGAGATACCTCACTTCTTGTCGTGCCTGCAAGAGCAAAGCTCCCTCCAGGTCCAGCATGCTGAGCCTACTTTAACTCTTCAGCACATGATCACCAGCAGTCCATAAAATATTCCTGTTTCATCTCTGTCCTTCATTCCAGCAGAGTTTACAATCATTGATGCCCTGACTGAGCCCCTCGAAGGAAAAGGAAAAAGGTGTTGGGATTTTGCAATGCTCCCCATTCTCCTGATGAACTCTTAAAAGAGAAAATGGGAAACCCCAAGAGAGCAGTGAAGGGATAAATGGGGCTCCCCAAATGAGATCTTGCTGCAGGAAGAACAGGGCCCACTGTGGGAAAACAGGGACGTGAAGGAATGGGGCTGGAAGGAGGTAACAGCACCTGCTCAACCAATTCCAAAGCCAGGCAGCTATTAGAGTGTGATCAGCTATCAGCTGAACTAATCCCCAGAGTAATTCCAGTTAAACCCATGGCATTACATTCAGGATTAAATCAGCTAAAGAATAGCAGGGTTGCTTTTGAGCATCTCTCATTCGTTGCTTTTCCTCATATTGTTTTTCTCAATTAAGGGCAGATTAAATTTCTGCCATAGAAGCAACACAGCAAGGCTGGAAGAAACGGGAAAGAAGGCTGAATACAATATCCATTGGAAAAGTCCATTCTGGTACACTTAAAATTCACATCTTTGTGAATTACTTTGCCTTTCTGAACCTTCAGGAAAGCAGAAGGCTGGAAAAGGTGCCCAACAAACCAAGGCCAGCAGGGAAACACATTTACTGAAGAACAAGGAGCAGCACAAAGGGGATTGTGAAGAAGAAGAGGCACAAAGAGGGGCTTCTGTAATGACAGACCACTCTAAACCACCCTGGCCTGGCACACAACTGGCTCTAGAGAGGGCATTTCTGAAGGAAAACATTTTTTTTTCATTAAAAGTGAGCTGTAGAAAGGGAAGGGGAAAGACCTAAAACTAGTGTTACAATGTAACAGAAAAATTAGCATCCAGAGCATGTAACACCTCCATGTTTCCCCTAGATACCCATCAGTGAGACAGAAAGTGAGTCAACATTATCTCCATTTGTTGCATCATTCTTCACTTCTAACTTCATCAAAGTTATTTCCCTTCTAGGAATTAAACTGACTGCTCATAACCTTCCTGAGAATTCTAGCAAATATTTCGTGCATAAGAGATCTAAGGGTTTTTAACCTATTTTTCATTTATTTTTCCCAAGCACAATGCAAAGAATGGTGTGAACTTTCATTATATTAAGCTACAATAAATCATAATAAATAAGTAAATATATTTGGATATTGTCCCAAGTTTTAATTTGTGTGGGGCTTTTCAAGGAAGCAACTGATGAAACAATCAGAAACTAAGCGAGAAAGAAAAAAAAAATCTACTTGCTTACCTCAAGAGACACACAAATTAGTGAAACTCAATTTTCATCAAAGAACTTCTTGGGCTATGGAACAAGAGCTTCAGCCTCACACAGCCAGGGAAAGCAGCAGCATCCCAGCAAAGCAGGCAGGGGCTGCTCCTGGATCCCTGGCAGTGCCCAAGGCCAGGGTGGAGCAGCCTGGGACAGTGGAAGGTGTCCTTGCCCATGGCACAGGGTGGAATTGGATGAGCTTTAAGGTCCCTTTCAACTCAAACCATTCAGTTATTTTATGATTACAGGGAATATTGTTATTTGTGGGGATTCTCACTCTGTTTCCTGTGGGATCTCAGCACATCGTTCCCGATGTCCAGAGATGCCAGGAGAACCCTTGGGGGTCTCGAAAACCCTGGAATGTTGCCAAGAGTGGTTGGTGGCTTGATTTTGATCCATCCACAGAAGTAACAAGAGTTTGAGGACAAGAGAATCACTTTAGAGTAAAAGGTGTAAAAGAGACACATTTAGAGGGTGAGATACAGACTTTAAGGTTTTTGGTACAGGGGGGTTATGGAGACAAGATGGAGGGATCAGGGCGTGTCTCGTCCTTCTTCTTTCTTCTTCTTGTCCTCCATCTCCTGTGATGATGTTGGCACTTGGGGATTGGTTCATGGTGAAGGTGCACTTGCTAACATGGGTGAAAAGCATTGGGAAATAAAGGTAAATATTGTGTACGTAGATTTTAGTATAAAAAGACATGACCGCCCCGTGGGTGGTCAGAGAGTGCCTGTGACTGCTTGCAGATCAGACCTCTGTTGGGCAGACAGAAAATTTTGTAGATAAGAAATAATAAACAACCTGAAGATTGAAAAGCTGAAGAGTTCAGACTCGTCCTTTGCATCGCGTGCCACCCAAGAACCACCCTACCCATGTCTGGGCAGAGACAGACAGCCGGACCCGACAGTTTCCCAGGAGCAAACTGGGATCCCTCTCCTTACTGGGAAGGACAAAAGAAAGTCATGCCCCTGTCACCTGCCCTTGTGCACTGGGATTCAGCATTTTCCTGCAAAGTCTGTAGTGCTCTCACACCCTGATCTCAAAGAAACAATAAATCCCTAGAGAAAGAGCTCTCTCAGGAGCCCATTGTGCAAGCTGCCACACTAACAGAGAGCAGAATCTATATATAACTGCCCCAAACAGGCCCAGCAAGCAGCTGCTTGTGAGGCATTTGCTCCATCCATCTTCCCCATTCCAAATCACTTTCTTAGTCTAAATTCCTGTCCCAGCATTACCCAAGAAATTGCCCCAAAGCACCAAAACTCAGATCAACATTCCCAAGCTGGCCATGACCAGTGGGATAACTTCACCAACACTTTCTGCCACCTACAAGGTGGAAATGAGGAGGCCACATCCCTTCTGCTCTATCAGCCCCCAGGCAATGCCAGGGAAGGAAGGAGCTGTGCCTGGCAGAGCTCTCCCACAGGGAGGATACAGGGGGAGCTCACTGGCTTTGAAATTGCACAACTGGGCTCTGAAATGCTTGCAGGAATTCCCTCATTTGATGACTGCTAGGTGGAAAAGCACTCCCCTACTCCCTGCACTCAAACTACCCCACTGCTGCTGCCTCTGCTCTTGGTAATTTGCTTTCCTAGCACCAGGGAACCTGCAGAGCAAGGCTCAGGGCCTGTGGGGGTCCCAGTTGTGGGTTTCTCTGGCTCTGGACTGAAGGCACTTCAGTCAGACAATAGCTCATGTTCACACTCAGGTGTTTATTATTTGTTATCAGTAAAACAGCCTCACTACTGTGAGTTGGGCAGCTTTTCATTAGAAGGCACAAAATGGCAACAATCTCTTGTTCCAAGGGCTTTTAAGACTAAACTATCCAGTTAA